CTAAGTTCTCCAGAAGCTGAAATATTTTAGCTCAAAATCCAAAATCGCTAAGTTTCACGACTAAGGAATTCGTCGTCTGAGAAAATGTCCAGTTTGACGTTTTTTTTTGTCAGAGGCGCTACGGCTCAGGTCAGTTTGAGATGTTCAGAAGCTCGGTATCAGTTGGTATGTTTTTTTTAGTTGCACTGCTAAACTGGTGCAATAAGTTAGAGCGAGACAAAATATACTTTCTCATTTTAACTTATTGCACCAGTTCAGTAGTGCAGCTAAAAAGAATAGACCAAGTAGTATTTACATTAGTGTTAATAAACAGTGTTAATAAACAGTGTTACTTACGATATGGTTAATATAATTGCTGATAATTGTAATGAATGAATTATTTGGTTGTGAATATTTTGGAGGTTATGTGCTAATTCAAAATTATGTGCTGATTGAAGGTTATGTGCTTTTATATATATATATATATATATATATATATATATATATATATATATATATATATAATAAAATAATATAATACAAAAGAATATGTGTGTGTGTGAATTATATGCAATATAATATATATAATAATAACAACGAGACTTTGTTACAACTGTGATAAGAAGATTGAGGAATTGAAACGTGACGCTGGAACTGTCAAAGTTAGCTGCCAAGAATTACAAGAATTTTATCATTAGTTGTACGTATTAGCTGTTACGAAGAAGTTGTCAATATTGAAGAAGCTATTAACATAAATGAGAAAGAACTACTTATGTTTATGTAAAATAATATTTATATGTTTAATATGTTATGTTTGTAGAATGCACATTTTTATTAGAGAGATCTATGTAACAGATGCTATAATTAACAGTTAAAATAATTAATTGTAACACTAAATTGCTTATTAGATACATTTGTGATTTTCATAAAATAAACATTGAAGCATATTTTAATGAATTATCATATAAATTTATCATCAGATTGAAGAGAAAAAGTCTTCGTTAAAAATATTCGTGAAATCAAAAATATATGATTGGAAACATCACATATATATGATAAGTTATCGCCAAATTTGAAATAATCTCATGTCCTCAATTTCTATATTTATTATTCATTGTAACATAACATCTATATGTATTTCCAATTCAAATTAAATTATACTCATTTATCAAATATGATAACAAATACATTTCATGTTCATATTTCTTTTCTTACAATTGATATTGAAATTAAATAAGAGTCTTGCAACTTTCATTTTGTCACTTTTAAAATAAGTGATAAATTTTAAAATAAAAGTGATTACATACGATTATATTTATGAATTTCGCCCTACTAGTTATTATAGAGTTATTTTATAAGTTTTTTAAACAATTTTATTAATAAATTACTGACAAACACTAAGGAGCGCTAGAACTTCCTTAACTTTTATGGGCACGATAACATCGTATTACCAATAAGATACCAATACAATACCAATAAGAAGCATCAATAAAATACCAATATGATACCAATAGAGGCATCAATGCAGTTTTATATCACTGACACTTCTGACTAGCTGTAGTGACGTCAGACAAGTCGTAAGAGTTTTAATCCTCTGTCGTTCCTGAATATAATATATTTATAGTACCACTCTCGGGACGCGTGAAAGAGTTGAAAGAACACGAATATAAATGACTATCGTGCCCATAAAAGTTAAGCAAGTTCTAGCGCTACTCCTTAGTGCCTGTCAGTAATTTATTAATAAAATTGTTTAAAAAAACTCATAAAATAATTCTACAATAATACTAGTAGGGCGAAATTCGGAAATATAATTAAAAATGTGAAATCACTTTTATTTTAAAATTTCACTTATTTAAAATCACTTATTTTAAAAGTGACAAAATCGCATCGTATTTGTAACAGCTGAAATTCAAATTCAAATTTTGTGATCATCATCGTAACGATGAGCGTTGCGTCTGACATTACGATTTTACAAAAAGATTAGGAAAATCTTTTAAGTAACTTAGCGATAGTAATAAGCAAAATTTTATTTGCTTCAATTATTCAAGAAATTATTTTTTCCACCGAACGATTTGCGACAGCTCAAATTGTTCCGTTCTTAACAATCACTTAGTTCTAAAGAGTGCTTCACAGAGTTAATTATCTAATTTTGAAAAAAAAAGTTACGCGTATTGCATAAGTACGTATGCTATGTCATAACTTTTAACAGCGAGACTGACGCTGAATTAAATCGAAAAAAAAGGAAAAAAAAATTTTTTAATCGATAAAAAATTTATCAAACAAGAAAATTGAATAATCATCAGTAAGAATAAATCGCGTTTGAGGAGATTCTAACGTTTGACTAAATAGAAAATTAAATATATAATATGTAAATGATACAAAAGTTAAATAAATTAACAATGCGTAACAGAAATTTCAGTAATTTTTATGATTTCCAAGGTATTTAATTATAAATTAATATTGTGCAAGCATTTGTAAAACCTCTACAATAGGGAAAATCGAAACTAGATGCCCTATATTTCAGAATTTTAAAGTTATAATTTCTCGGACAACTAATTGTTTTATAACTGACTGTACAAATATAATAAAAGCAACCTTTTCTATGTGCTAACATAATATCCACTAAGATTCTGTTCATTGCATATTTAGTTTTATTTTTAACCAAACTACAAAATACAAACTTACAGACAATATATAATTGGAAACATGCATGATATCGCTAAACATTAGATGTTATCGCTAAACTTTAGATTATTTTATAATGTTACTTTTATATTTATTTCTATATTTATTATTCATTTTAATATAACATTTATGTGCATTTGCAAAAATAATAAATTAAATGGAATTGATCATTTATCAAATACAATAATAAATATATTTCATGTGTATATTTATTTTCTTATGGTTATAATTACTTTCCAATGAGAGTTTTACAACTTTTATTTTGTCACTTCTAAAATATTTGATAAATATTTGATAAATTCTAAAATTAAAAAAACAATTACATATAATATAACATATAATATGTTTATAAATTTCATTTTACTAATAATTTGTTACAAAGTTACTTTGTTAGTCTGTTTTTAAACTAGTTCAATTATTTTAACTTTTAAACTAACTATTTTATCAATAAGTTACTGATTGACTAGGAAGTAGCGTTAGAACCTCCTTAATTACAGAATTGGCGTTAAGTTGGATCGAAAAGAGGGAGAAGAAATTGAAAGTCGAGAAATAGCTCCATTTAGAAGATTAGTATAATAATCGTTGATACAATCGAATCGCTAAAGCGTTTAACAAGATTCTAGCATTTGATTAAATAAAAAAAAGAACAAATGAATAAAATAAAAATCAACTAACAATGTGTAACAGAAATTTCAATAAGTTTTATCCTATTATTTCCAAGATATTTAATTGTAAATTTATATAATACAAGTATGTATAGAACTTATATAATATAATATAATATAATATAATATAATATAATATAATATAATATAAAAAATTAGTTCCTAATTTTTGACATATTTGTATTTAAAAGTAAAGTTTAGAAAACCAATATTATAATAGAACAAAATTTTTAGCATAATTTACTACGTAAAGCAGTACTACATAAAGTTATCATGACGTTAAAAATAAATTTATTTCTCGTGATAAAAAATTTGTGATAAGAAAATTCGTGAAATCAATAATGTATATATGAGTGAAAACATGATAACATCATATGTATGTATCTGTGTTATCCATTGATAAGTTATCAATAGATCTTAAATTGATATCTTAAATAGATCTTGATAATGTCTTTTCTATATTTGTTTCTATATTATTCTCTTTTATTTTAACATAACATATGTATTTCCAACTCGATTTAAATTAAATTGACCATTTATCAAGTGCTGTAACAAGTATTATTATAATTTAATTTTTATATTTCTTTTCTTACAATTAACATTGTTATTAAATGACAGTCTTAATAAGGTACTTATTAATAAAATTAATAAAATTTTTAAGAAGATAAATAAAAGAATTTTGCAACAATATTAGTAAGATAGAATTTGTAAATTTCATAATATATGTAATCTTTTTTATTTAAAAAATTATAAAATATTTCGAAAATGGCAAAATATAAATTGTAAGACTGTCATTTAATAACAATGTTAATTGTAAGAAAAGAAATATAAAAATTAAATTATAATAATACTTGTTACAGCACTTGATAAATGGTCAATTTAATTTAAATCGAGTTGGAAATACATATGTTATGTTAAAATAAAAGAGAATAATATAGAAACAAATATAGAAAAGACATTATCAAGATCTATTTAAGATATCAATTTAAGATCTATTGATAACTTATCAATGGATAACACAGATACATACATATGATGTTATCATGTTTTCACTCATATATACATTATTGATAAAATTAATTAATATACTGATTGATTACATGGAAAAAAATGCTATTGTATCAATTTTCCAACATCACCGTAACTGGAGTAAATCTTCTTGTGTCAACAATATTATTGAAACTAATATATAATATATTATTTTGATAATTTATATGTTAGTTTCAGTAGCATTGTTGCTGAATCAAAAAGATTTAGTCCAATTACTGTACGTAATTTCTAACGTTGGCAATTTCTACTAAGACAACAGTATTTTTTGCGTAAAAAGTAGCATTAGTGATTGGTACGAAGTTTGATCGAGAAGGAGGAAGAAAAAATGGAAAGTTGAGAAGAAATTCCATCGAACGAGAAGATTGAACGATCATCGGTAAGATTGAATCGCTAACGCGTTTAACGGTTTAACTACCGTCGACGTCGCAAGGGATACACCGGCAAACTTGATCCGCGGCACGGAAACCATGCATCCCCTCGCGCACTCTCACGCCGCACACGCATATGAATAAATATTGATGACATCGTGGAAGATGTTAATCACAGCGCGCGTAATTAGGCGTCTTTAACGCCACCGCATCGCTACCGCCGTTAAACTCAGCTCGCTGATAGCCTCCTTACCTCTTGGGAACGAGTATTCTCCTCTGCCGCCACATGTTCTCCTTCGGCATCCTGTCGCTCGTTTCGAAATCGGGCCTTTTCCGCGTGGTTTTTCTTTCGCCGGCGACGATCAAGTGGATGGGTCCGCGTGGCCGCGTCGCTCACGTGCTGCGTCCCATCGGCAGAAAGATAATCTGTCGGCGAACCTTTTCCCGAATAACGTTGCCGACGTAGTCCGACGACGATCACTTATCAAATTCATTCACTCTATATTTCACTCTTGCCCGAAATGCGAAGACCAAGGTTAAACAACGTTTTTGGGACGTATAAGTTCACGAAAATTCGCGTGGAGCGACTTCGAACCGCTGAGAATCCCCGCGAACGATCGATCTTCCCGCTAACCGATTGCTAACAATCGGTCCTCGACGCGTATCGCAATCGAACTTGTTGTCACGCGACTTTACGACATCGTGCCCGGTGCAATTTTGCTCGAATCAACGGCGCCGCCACGTGGAATGTTCCTCAAGGTACTAGGCGTTGAAGCGCGTGTGCGACGATCGTCCTTATGGACCTTCTCAGTCATCAATTCTCCGAGGAAGTTTCGCTCGCGGAGGCAAAGGCCGACAGAGACGCGCACCAACTCGGTCTACGTCCGAGTGACTCGTCCTGCTGGGTGGCTGGTCGACACGCGACTGCCGCGTTTCTTCACGTTTTGCTTCGACTCTCGGAGCCGTGAGGATGCGAGGAGCTGAGACGACACGCGATACGTTCTATTCCGCGTCCGCTCCGTTACTCCATGGCACGACGTGATGCCGCGATTCTACTCCACATTCGCCACTCCACGAGAGGCCCTGGCCGAGAGAGCGATCCGCGGAGCGGGGATTGCCACTTCCGCGACGGAGCCTCGCCATGCAGCGAAAGAGGGACGCGCGTTTTCGGGGTTTCGGTGAGCAAGGTGAACGGATCTGTAAACCTTCTCTGCGAGAACAACCCACTTTTCAAGCTCGAGTCTGCAGTGTTGCGTCTCGGTAGAAAGGTCGGATACGATGAAGATATTGTTACACTAAACTTTAATGTAAGTCATTCAATAAATTAAATATTAAGACAATACTTGAAAACTTTGCCGATAAAATACTGATTTTTTCCTGCACAGGTTACGTTGTATTGATTGCACAGAATTATTAATGCTTTTACACAATGGAATTACGTGATGAAATGAAGCATTCATTATTCAGTATATAACGAAAACGACCAAAGTTTTTAAAATTGATATTTCCAGCTGTCGTTAACGTAAATATTAATTGATATTATATAAAGTTCTGTATGTTTTACATTTCGAATGTGTGTTTGCTTTGTTTAGAGAAATTTCAAATGGCATTGCTTTACGACTATGTGACTATATACCTTTATGATTATGTGAATTTAGAAAATTCAAATATACGAAAAGTTTGCAGAAAGATATTTATATGTGCGTGGTTACCCAAGTAGGAATTTACTACTGGCATCAAAGTGGCCCAGTACCGATTTATGCTAAACGTTACTGGTATAGTACCAGATACCAATACGAGTTTAGCATTAGTGTGATACTAGGATGATGGAAAAGGGCCAGTATCGGGAAACAGTACTGTACCTGTATAAAAAAAGGATTGATTCCTGGCACTGAAGAAGTACCTATTCCCAGTATTGGGCCAGTATCGATTCCTAGTAATTTTTATTATTTGTACAATTGTTAATATCACAACTATATAGTATAGAAAAAAAGATTAGACCATGGCCGGGCTCTGCTCTCGTATCTATACAGGCCTATTTTTAGTAGTTATATGAGGAAAAAATCTTCAGGGCGACGGCTGGAATCGAACTCAAGTCTTTCGCTTGTCAGGCAAGCGTTCTTACCACTGAGCTAGGTTTCGCGTTAGTAATCTCTTCCGGTTTCTCATAAAGGATATTGGTACCGTCCGTTTTTCGGTACCGGCACAATACTGGCCCAATATCCTCTATGGGCAGATTGTATACGATTCTTACTTAGGTATCCAGTACTGATTCTACGAACAAGGCCAGTATCAATAATATAGCTTTTTTAATACTGGGCCAGTACCGAAAACGACAAATACTTTTCGGTAATGCCCCAGTACACATACAGTACGAGTATTCTAACTTTAGTACGGAGTCAGTACTAATAATATAGTTTTTTTATATTAGGCCCAGTACTGAGCCAGTACCAAAACCGGACATCCGCTTTTCGGTATCGATTCAGTATCAGGCCATTTTTCCGTATTGCGAAACGTATACGATTCCTACTTGGGTATATTTTATGAATATAACCACGCACATATAAATGTCACCGAATATGGTAAAACGAAATATTTATATAGCACATTTATATAACATCTATATGTACATGAAATATTATAAAGATAGTGTTTATCTGACGTTTTGATGATCGCCTCTAAATTATTGACATTTTTAAAGTTTATAATCCGTTATGACTGTTCCGATAAACTTCAATAAAGTCTTGATATTTTTTTAGATATTCTTATTAAAGAAAAATCAAATGTGTCAGAAAGAATTTATTGTTAAAATTGAAGTCGTTTAGATTAGAAAATAGTCTTTATATTAATAACGTTTGCGACTGAGGGCTTGAAACACTTTGAGAGGGGTTAATGATTTTCATCATTAATTGCTAGAGTTCAAATGTTATATTAATTAATTTAATCTTAGATTAAATCTTAGATTAAAGTTGACCATGAATTTATGACAAATTATGTTAAATCGCTTCCACGCGAAACGACATTTACTAAGTCAAAACTTATTTGTTTTTCTATTCGTATGTAATGGTTTCTTTTATTCGCATCTAGATATACGTATATATCATGATATCTTAGATTTCCGCAGTATAGAAATCGTTAAAAGACGCCTTGAGGAATATTAATCTACAGTTAAGTTAAAATATATAACACAACCAGTGCTATTAGAACGTCGTATACAAACAGGATACAAAATCCTGTTTAAGCAAATATCTGTTTGAGTTAAAATTTTAACACCTATTTCCCTACAATATACTGAAGAACTTTAGAAATTTATGAACATCTCAACAGCTTCAACAGAAATCTAATATATCGTTTTAGCTTGACATATTATATTATATTGTATTGAATCATATCATATTATATCTAGACACGATGTAAACAACTAAAACGACTAGCAAATTTTGGTCTGACAAATATTAATTGAAGCTTTTATAAGTTTAATTAATATCGATAATTATCAATATAAGTTTTACTGAAGCTTTGTATATATGTAGACAGTCTGCCAATTGACAATTTTAATTTTAACAATATCTTGTAAAACTTTTATAGTCATTATTACGTGAGACAATCGACAATGAAAATTTAACAATGTTTTAAATTACATTTATGGAACAAATATACTATATCGAATTAATTTTTATCATAAAATAATGATTTTAAAAATTTGATATTATATTGATACAGCATTAAATAATTTATTTAAAATTATATTCAGATTTTTACATTTTATATGATATACACACATACTGTCATGTAAATTTTAAATAAATATTTTGATAATTTTTTTCGTATTTTCTCGTCTCTCTTTCTCTCTCTCTCTCTCTCTCTCTCTCTCTCTCTCTCTCTCTCTCTCTCTCTCTTTCTCTCTCTCTCTTATTCAGCCATTTTCTGTTTGATAAATTCAAGTATTATAAATATGAGAACTGCTCATAAGAGATCTTTTAAAAATCGATTAATGAAGTTACTACCAAATTTACATATACAAATGTATTTACCTGGGTAGATTCTTTCTGACCAATTCGGAATAAATTTTCTTTTAGCGAGAGAGTACCGAGAAAGAACATTGCTTATCGCAACTTTTTGATTCTGCATTCGTAGATTTCATAACTAAGTTAAGAACGCTATTAAGAATTTTATAGTTTCTCGTTATATAGTTTCGTCATTTTATATTCCCTATAAAGATACAAATGTTAATATCTTTGGTTTCAGTTACTGCTATGTTGTTTCTTCACGCCCATTTCATTAGCAAACATTAGTCAATGTTTATTAACAACCTATCTATAATAACGGAAGAACAATCCCAAGTTAAACGTTACTCCAAAGCGAAAGAGATTTAATGACGAGGCTCAGTTCTCAAAAACCTGCTTTCCCTAACTTGCGGTCAGATTCCATATAATTTTACGCGGGTCAGTGAAATGGAATTTCTACCGCATGTACACATGTATTGTTGCACGCGTGTTATTCACGTTTAATAAGACACGCGCGCTTCTGAGGCGATATCGATGATTTAACGCTCGCTCCGACATTTATTAGCCAACGCGATTAGTTAGGAGTATTCAAGAAAGTAGCAGACCGTGTTGCATTTCAATAAGGTCGATAATTTAATGGCCGAAGACTATTGAAGACACTAATATATACATTGAACCGCGATGATTATCCGTTAATAAATACATCCAAGCAGGAGAGAGAGAAGAAGGGAGAAGAGACAATTCTCTTTCGCAGAAATAAACCTATATTAAAGAATTTATATATTATTTATTTGCAAAACACCCGGCAAGCAAACGGCTTATTTTCAATGGCGCATTAAGAGAACAATAAATTCACTATCTGTCGAATAAAATTACACTTTTGTATATTTATTTCGCTATCTAAATAATAAATATAAATTTTAAACTAATTTAATGTCACTACCTTGCCATGTTCCACTCATAAGGAAACATAGGCAACACGAAAATTCAGAAAATTCTGAAACATTGTGCAAGTAGAGTAGTACATCTATAATATAAAACTATTTTTTGTTTCTGCTAAATTTCGATTTAAGGGAGTGAAACCACTCTTCGAAACCAATGAGTAAAAAAAAGGAGATTCAAAAATTTTATATTTTTGCAATATTTGAATACACCGTTGCAAATAGTATAAAATATTCTATCACTTTTATATAAACTATTTTTTCATATGCCTTGTATTTTAGGAAATATTTGCTAAAAATAAAAATGTTATGTTTTTTCGAGGGATGGTTTCACTCCCTTAAATCGAAATTTAGCAGAAACAAAAAATAGTTTTATGTTATGAATGAACTACTCTACTTGCACATAATATTTTAGAATTTTCTGAATTTTTAGGTTGCCTATGTTTCCTTGTCAGTACAATGCTTTTCAAAGCATAGAACAATAGTTTTCTAATCTACAATCAACCAAAAACGATCGAATACAAAAACTATTCTATTGAATACTATTCTCTTCTACTGTATTTCCTAATATATAATATTTATAATGGCATTTCCTAATATATAATATTTATAACGATAAATTTTTTATTTAGATGATATTACTTTCCACGAAGTTACACTGAAATAACAGTCCTCTACCCGACTAGAAATTGTCATCAGGTATACCTGAAATGTATAAGTCCCTAACTAGGCGTTCGCAAGGTTATCCTTACTAACCTAGTCATGTACTGATAAAAATCGAGTAAGAAAGACCTTTGCAAGATTATAATAATTAGATATATATTAGGATCTTGATATATTATCCTAATATATTATTTCATAATATTTTATTGATCAGGTCCTTTTTAGGATCTTATTTATTTTACCTGTTATAACTTGCATTATCAGTTTTTAATACCTTTTGTAACAACCTTACATATAGTAAGTTGATTAATAAATTTTTATAAATTTTTTCATAAAAATATTTGTTATTTTTTAAATTTCAAGTATTATAAAAAAGTGTTGAAATATAAATTCACATATATTTTATATAAAATTTTTAAATATTCAACAAAAAATATGAATATAATAATAAAAATATAAAAGTATGATATTTTGCAATATTGCAACAATATTTGAGAAACATTGAAAATTATATTATTGATAATATTAATAAAAAATTTTTTTATTATATAATAATAATAAAGTAAATTATTATTAA